GAACCATGGATTGAGGTACAAGTGTGATATTGATCTATATTGAGAGATCCAGCTATTTGTAGTTGCAGCAGCTCATCTCCCTGCTGCCTAGCGGAGTGTCTGCCTAACAGGCAGCCACTCCTATAGATCTATATGCATCACGTGACCTGGGATCCAACTCTCCCCCTGTGCTGAGGACCCGAAGGGGTCGAGGCACCTCAAGGATCCCAGAATATGCTCTGGCATTATCTGATCTTTCTTTAAACGAAATTGCAGACTCAACACCTCCCCCTGAATGGATATTCAGACGTTCCACAAGGTCTTCGTGTGTAGACCTCGGTAAAGCTTTGGTGAAAATATCTGCCAAGTTGTCCTTTGTATTGACACGCTGGGTATCAATAAGACCTTCCTCCACCTTTTCCCGAATGAAGTTATGCTTGACGTCAATGTGTTTGGCCCTGCTGTGGAACTCTGGATTCCTGGTGAGCTTCAAGGCTGCGTTATTGTCGATATAAAGGGGAACTTTGTCAATGTGTACTCCGGGGATGCGGAGGTCATTGATAAAGTTGCGAATCCACATAGCTTCCTTCGCAGCCTCGGCGCATGCAATGTACTCCGCGTCCATGGTTGATGTAGCCACTGTTTTTTGTCTCTGGGATGACCACGATATGGGCCCTCCAGCAAGCGTGAACACCCATCCAGTTGTCGACTTGCGCGAGTCCTCACATCCGGCAAAGTCGCTGTCGACGAAACCCCTCAGCTGAAGACCGTGTTTATCTGAATAGACAATTCCCTTCCTAGCATCGCTCTTCAGATACGCAAAAATGCGATCCACGGCATCCATGTGAGCCCGGTTTGGATTGGATGCGTATCGAGCTACATATCCGGTAGCAAAAGCAATGTCCGGTCTTGTCTGATTGCTGCTGAAATTGAGTGATCCGACCTTTGACTGATAGTCTTTGCGGAATTTGGTGTTGGCAACATAGTCGCCCTGTTTCGCTAGCTTGGTCTTCATGTCAAGAGGAGTCATGACAGGAGCTGCATCTTTGAATCCATATTTATTGACCATTTGGTCGATGTATTGTTTTTGATGGAGATGGATTTCTCCAGGCTTCTGCTCGATGTGCATTCCTAAATACCAGGAGCACTCCCCCTCGTCGGACATCGGAAATTCCTTCGAAAATTGTGCCTTGAAGTCAAGGATTGTCTGAAGGGTTTTGCCCATCACGTTTATGTCGTCCACGTGGACCTCGAGGATAAGTCCGGTTATGTCATTGATAAAGACGCACGGATCGTAAGCGGACATTCGCCAACCCCAGCGGACAAGGGTGTCCCGGAGTTTCTGATACCATGCTCGAGGTGATTGCTTTAAACCATAGAGGGCCTTCAGAAGCAGCAAACAGCATCCACGCGTTAATTGTACATCACTAGGCGGTCTCATATGGACTGGCTTGTCCAAGTTGCTGTTTAGGAAAGCCGTCTTGACATCTCCCTGGTGAATGTGCCAATGGCAAATCGCTGCCAACGCGAGCAATATGCGGGTTGAAGCGGATTTGACAACGGAGGCAAACGTCTCCTCATAATCAAGACCCTCTTCCTGCTGAAAACCCCTAGCTACTAAACGAGCCTTGTGCCTGATAACATTCCCGTCTGCTCCGTATTTGTCTGTGGTGACCCATCGTGAGGTAACCGGTTTAATTCCTTTGTCGAGTGGAACGATAGTCCACGTTCCTTTCTCTTCGTGGGACTTTAGTTCTTCCACTTTAGCCTGATGGTATTTTGCACGATTGGTGCTACTCGGCTTCAATTGGAGGGCCGGCACAGTGTGTCCACCATACGCAGATAGCCCGAACTTGAATTCCTTGTGGCCACTCTTGTCCACGTCTTGTTCAGTATTCACCTCTTTTTTATCCCGTTCGGTGTTAACTGTTTCTCGTCCTATATATGGAATGAGTTCCACCTTCTTTTGTCCGATGTCAGATGTTTTTCCAAATTCGTGGACATCTCCTGGAATTCTAGACTTCCTTCGACCCGTGTATTTTTCGTAGTCTTCGCGGAGATTCGGCTCGCCTAGAGCTTTCAACTCAAATGGACGAATCGCCCACGATTCATATGTCCCGTCAGAGCGGCGATAGTTGCAATTAGCAACGTGGGTGTTGGGCTGTGCTTTGACGCATGGGTAACAGGGTTGTCCCCCGTCGCAGTTCAATTTACTTCTTCGGCAGCGCACGCATTCTTCATCAGACAGATCTCCTTCCTCAAGAGGGCCCACGGAGGAGAAACCAGTTGGAAGCGGAGAATCAGGGACGCGATAGATTCTGGTTAACAAACCATCCTGGGCTTTGTAGCTGCATGTTGTCTTTCCGTGGATGCATGCCTTACAAGGTCGTCCGCGGTCACACTTTTTTCCACTCCTGATTCCATTTCTGCACTGATCACAAGGAGGTAAATCATCCACGCCCTGCGGCCGACATGCTAAGCGTTGAAGAAGGGTGTTGCACTTGTTGCACGGAATCTTCCCATCGCATGCCATTATTTTTGTTGCGCACCGGTAGCATTTCTGATCACGAGGAACTGGTACAAATCCGAGCTTTTTATGCTTTTCCTCCTTTTCAGCCTGTCTTCTTTTCTGCCGTGCTGTTGACGTTTTTGCCCCGTCTAGGTTCCAATTGCAATTGATCTTGGCTTTTTGACATGCTTCGCATTTTGGGTTGCTTGGGTCAATGAGAAAACAAGTACGGTTCGTCTGGAAGCATCTTCTGCATGGCTGGTCCTGTTGTACTCTTCCAATTTCTTTACGCTTGTGACGGTTCTCAGGAAGAACTAACTTTCTCGTTTCTTTTGACTGTGGTCTGCAGCCTTGGTTCTCCTTTCTGCATATAGAACAAGGCATTCCATTTTCTGCAGAGTCGCATCTCCTTCCATTCCGGAAACAGCGATCACATTTATTGTCATCGGGAAGAAAAGTCTTCATATTGTTACCGCCATGTTTTCTCACGAATTGCCAGTAAGCCTGAGAAATCTTCCCATCGTCCGAGTAATACCAGGATTCATCGTTTGAGTCTGTCGCATTTGAGTCTGAATGCGCGAATTCAGCTTCAAATGAATCGTGTGTCGCTCTTCGGCTTTTCCTCGGAGCCACTATCGGAGCATCCGTAGCTTTCCGTTTAGCCATACCGGCGTGTTTGGAATGATTGAAATATCTGGACACAACTGGGGTTATTGATTCTTCGTCGGTTTCATATTCATCGTCGGCGCTTTCGATCTCATCTCGTGACTCGTGCCACGCTTCAGAAGGGTTTTGCTCTTGGCCGATCCCTTCTTCTTCCAAAGAGCCTGTACTCTGCCAATCGTGATTAGCGTTGTGTGGCCCAGCTTGATCACTGTCCTTCTCGCTGGAAGCTTGGCTTTCGTCTTCCGAGGGAGTATTGCTTGGAATATCAAGATCCGGGATAGGAACCCTGTCTTCAAGACATGGTGCGTCATGAGGGTCGTTCAGACCCTCACCGTCCTCGACCCTAGCAACTCCAATACGGTACACCTTATTCTTTTCCGGAGAGTAAATATGATACATTGCTTCACTTTCACACCCGACGAAGTATCCCAGCCAGCCACGGGGACTATGTAGTTTTGTCATCGAAGCCGTGCTCCTCAACTCCTGAGGATATGTGACGTATGCTCGACTACCCCAGATTCGTTCTCTTGTGAGGGTTGGCTTTACCCCTCTTAATGCCTCGTACGGGGTTTTTGCATCTTTCTTGCGTAACGCACGTGCTGGGATTCGGTTCTTCAGCCAGACAGCATGTTGAATAGCTTCGGGCCAAAGGTTTTCGGGAATCTTAGAAGTCCGTAACAACTCGGTACCCTTTTCGGAAATGATCTTGGAGACTTGTCCAGAGATGGAAGTCTCTTGAACCATAGGCGCGGCCTTTTCACGAATCGTACGGTTTGTTCTCTCTGCAACACCATTCTGGTAATGGGCGTATGGCTCGATAGGTTCTCGCGCGATGGAATGAGAGTGGCACCATTTGCCAATCGGTCCCCTTTCAAATTCGTTGTCAAAGCGACAGCACCGGATGGTAATATTGAAAACCTTCTGGATCAATTTGACCAGCGACTTGAAGACTTCGAACAGCTGATACTTTTTATCAAATCGTGCGCTCCATGTATATCGCGTACAGTCGTCGGTGATGAACAAGAAATACCTAGTTCCATCAAATCCTTCGATTGGGTATGGTCCCCACACGTCCATATGAACCATCGCTCCTGGTTGTTGAGCATGTCGCGAGGCAGGATCGCGTGGAATCTTGACCAGGGCCCGTGTCGTCGCACATACAGGGCAAACGGCCTTGAGCTTGGCTTTAATTTGCTTCTCGGTGATCTCCATCCCAGTTGAGCTACGCAGCAGATTCAGCATGTTTTGAAAGCCTAGGTGCCCCAACCTCCGATGCCATTTCCATACAGGATCATCAAAGTCCACTGTGGCTGCGATGACGCCACCCGTCATATCATCATTGGGAAGTTTTGTGGCGTCGAGGTGATATAGACCATTGCCGAAGATGGCATGTCCGATCATATGTCCGGCATCATTCATCCATGTCATATATTGCTCATTGTAGATGCCGGTTACTTTTGCCTTCCGAGTGAACATCCCTCCCGAAAATAGGTTGCATTTGCCTCGAGGAGCATAAGCAACTTCCGAAAGCGATACTTTCACTAGAAACCCATCAGGGCTTTTTAGGACAAGATTGACAACTCCCGTTCCTTCAATTTCGAGGGTAGTGGACCCGTCTGCGGTGCTGATTTTTAAATTGGATGAGCGGAAAGTATCTTTCTTAAACCATTTCATGTCATTAACGATATGCATGTTCGCTCCTGTGTCCGCTAGCCATGTGTCTGTTGTACAGAAACTGCCTGCCAAGAAAGCTCCTAATACAGGTTTAGAGAAATCCAACGTCGTGGGTACTGGGTCCCCCATATCAACTCCCCCTGATCTCCGCAACTTGATGCAAGAGATAGCTCTATGCATCTGCGGCGAAGGGTCAGCTGGTTTCCCATGAGTTGAAGGGGAGGGACCCGTACCCAGAGCATCAGTCCGGATATATGTGTCTTTGGAATCGGGGAGATCCATTTCTGCGACACCACCCATGCCATTGGTGATAACAGCCCTGTTGGTGGTGTTGGTGAACTTTTCTTTGAGAGATCGTGGAATTTTCTCGGGGTTCTTAACCCAGCAATATTCCTCGGTATGGCCAGTCTTGCCACAGCCAGAATGGGTGCACTTGAGGTGACTTCTGTCCTCCCGTCTAGGCCTGTAACGAGTATTGTTGTCCGTGTTCATGATGCCGTTGCTGCTGATTGCATCTCTCTTGACCTTTTCCCTGATCTTTCTCTCTTCTTTAATTTGAAGCTGGTGCATTTCTTCAACATGCATGCGTTCAAAAAGATAGTCCAGATCAGGAGAATCGTCAGGGTTGATCGACCTAATCCAGTCATACTTCTCTTTGAAACCGCGATAGCTGGGAGGAAGGCCATGAAGAAGAGCCGTTGCGAACATGTCGTCAGTCATATCATACTTGACTGTCTTGAGATCAGCTTTGACCTGGCGGACTTGATTGGTGTAGTCGGTCACAGATGCGCAGTGATCCAGTTTGAGATCGTTCAATCGATTCAACAGAATATCGCGCGCACGTTCATTTGTGACCGCATATCGCTTCTTGATAAAATCGTAAGCTTCTTTGGCGTCCGAGCAATCCTCGGTCTCGATTTTGATGCCGTCAGAAATCCATTTGTCAAGTAGCTTGTTTGCCATCTTCATCTTCTCTTTCGCAACTTTATGATCATTGTAATCAATTTGCCATCGGAGTGTGTTGTTTGTTGTCAATACAACTGCCTGGCCATCATCCGTCTCGTTTTCGTCATCGGTTGTCGGACTTAAACTTTTCTTGATCCGAGTAGACCGACGGGTTTCGGTGTCAAGGACTTTCACAAAGTATTCGTCCTTGTTGGGCTTGGGTGGGACGACTTCTTCGCCCGTGAGAAATTCAAGCACATCATTTGCTCTGGCTGCTCGCTCAAACTCGCGTTTCCAACTGATGAAGTTGGTCTTGCCTTTGAGCCGGCGATCTGGTTTAACTTCATCCATCTTGGATGATGTCGTATCTGGTGCCCGGAATTGGGCGTCTGGGGTCTGGTTTCTGTTGATCACTGATCACTTGTCAATCCAAAGGCTAGTTTTTAGAAGAGAGGCTCATAACCAGTTGAACCATGGATTGAGGTACAAGTGTGATATTGATCTATATTGAGAGATCCAGCTATTTGTAGTTGCAGCAGCTCATCTCCCTGCTGCCTAGCGGAGTGTCTGCCTAACAGGCAGCCACTCCTATAGATCTATATGCATCACGTGACCTGGGATCCAACTCGCGAGGGGTCAGGGTAAATGATTTCACACACACACACACACACGCCTGTATTCAGTGTTAGTTTCTTCCCAGCACGGAAAAGCTCGCCCCAACCCAGAAGCTGTTTCTCCACAGCAGGCCAATCCATTTCGGTTTTGTCACAAGAGAGTGTGAGGTCTGGTTGATTACGGTGATTCACCGATACAACGGCAGTTGTATCATCAAGTTCAACTCTTTTCTGTGGAAACTTCTTGACTACAATTTCCTTTAACTTCGGCTCTAAAAAAAGACGCCAGTGAAACCGCAGAGCCAACACCAGGTCTTGCTCTGTGTTTTTCCGGATGGTTTTGTTGTTGAGGGTTATCTTCCACACAATCGAATAGTGAATACAGGTCGGTGGAAGCTCATCGTACAATCTTCCTTCTTCCCACTCACCCAGCTGAAGTAATCGAATCTGGTTTATTTGAGGAGATCGGTGCTGCGGGGAGAAGTCGTCATCTGGGCGGTCTTCCGGGCTAATAAAACTCATCATGGAGGGTGTCTGGCAGACACCGTATCCGGGGGCGGGGCATATTCTGGGGTCTGGGCAAAGAGCGAGGATTGATCGGGTTGGTCATATGAATCAAATAGCAGTGGATCATTCTGAGTGTTGAATGGGCTACGGCTCATATTTGTGCAGCTATTCAACCAATAATTAACATTATCGTGCATCAAGAGGCTCTGGGGGATCTTTCGCTCTGGTTGATACTTGTTGATTCTTACCTAGAGAAAGCGGCCGCTGAAAAGAGAGCACAGGCAAACAAGAAGATTCTTGGAGTAAGCAGCATCGGAAAACAGCGATGCTAGGTTATACAAGCGTTCTCTTCGATCTGATCGGTGACGACGGAGCCCTCCGAGAGTAGATGAGGTTGGGACACCTGTAAAGCAGGCACAGCATAGTGTTTGCCTTGTTTGCATGTAGATCTTCCAGGTTCCAGGGTATTCCATAAACCGATCGACCACTATTCCCGATTGGGAAAAATGTAAGCATCTAATATTGGAGGCCCTCACATATCTGCGTCTTTTTGCCAACCCAAAATCTGGTCGAAGAGAAAAAGATTTCAATTGAGGTGAAGGAACAAGGAAGAAATGATGTAGGTAATAAACATCATATCGTTGGTTTCAGTATTGATGCTATTCACAAATGAATTACGCATGGATGGGCCTTTCAACAGTCCCGCAGTCATTAAGTTGAGGGCCGCGCGACCGGTGTTTAGCAGCTAATTGTTTTACATGACACATAATCACCTGATCTGTCCAAGCCTCAAGCATACCCCTGCGAAGAGGATAGTTTCAAAATATCGGATAACTCTAATACCGTAACACTGGTCTCAAATACCAAACAATACGAAGGGCTGTTTTTCCATTACTAGTCTGCGTGCAATAATTTTCCACGCTAGCTCCTTGGCAGTGGGGCCCGAGAAAAGAAATGCTATCATCAGGGTAGAAGCTGTTTTCGCTATCGACTGTACTAACCAGGAAGATAGCGCCTACATTACAAGCATAATCCGCCTTAAGGCAGTGGCTATAGCGACCAATTCCACTAATTTGACAAGTCGGTCATCTCGATACGACCCACTATAGAGACTAATCGTCTTTATCAGGATCCCTAGCTCCGATTGCAACTTGGTCTTACGTGGAGATGAACATGAGAATCATCTGATCTTGTGTCCCGCCGTTGCATCCGTTATTCAGACTTACACTTCCACGGCTTCTTTGTCCGAGTCGCCTATGCTGCGGCAGTAACGATCCGATGAACCCTAAATGAGCTACGCTGTAACGGGTACTGCTGGATAGGGAACGTAAATCAGAATTACAAGGGCAGGTTTTTGCGGAATATCGAAATTTGCCAGAGTTGGCCCTAGCTCTTCATGGGCTGGTAAGTTCAACTCTGTTGGAATTCAGAGGGAACATGTTATTTCTTAAGGGAAACCAGGAGGCTATATATACAACGCGAACTCCAAGTTGATTTCTGATCAACTTACTTCTTCGTACAGTAGTATTCGAAATCAGATTTACCTCTACACTCTTAAGACTTTCATTCCCGAACCCCACCTTGAAACACGCTAGTCTATTTTTAGCTGACCCCCAGTTACCCCTGTCGGACTGTATTGTACTGGAAGACGCGCGCGTTGCGCGCATCGGCCCTGAAACGAAGAACTGGAAAGGGGAGACGGAAAGGTGAAAAGAGACATTAAAATGTGTGGATGATGTTTGAGTTGCGTTTTATTTAAGATTGACCAATGAGAGGAAAGATCAGATGACTAATAAATGAAATCGAAGAAAGCAACTAAGAAATCAGTTAAATTCGCTAACAGTAGTTATTTTTCGACTGCGCGAGTATATCAGCATATGAGGCTTTCCTTGGCCTTTGAGAGCGTCTCTCTGGAGTGGGAGTGCTAGCACGAGGTAAGGCATTGACTTCGTCTGCCGTGTCTGGCCACGTCATTTGCGTGCTTTCGTCGTCCTCATCATCTGGGGCATCTGTTCCAGTTGGCTCAGGATAACGCTGGTCCCTGAGAGAAGGTTCATTTTGGGGGATTGTAATTGATTTGGAGGGGGTGGTGGGGCCAGCCCTCTGGGACCAACGATCGACTCGCTTCCGTTTACCAGTTGTTGAGGAAGGAGTTAGAGGTAGATGAGGAGCTGGTGCAGGGAGAAAATGTATATCATCCGCGATGATAGCTAATTGACGGTTCTCTTTTGTGAGGCCGAAGATGCGACCCGTCAAAAAAACATGGGCGTTTACATTCAATGGCGGAAAGTTCGCCTAACGTTGCCCGTTTTTGAAGTAGGCGGTGATGGGAAAAGTGTGCTGGGTACGAGTTGACGTGTTGTAAACGGTAGTCTGAAGACGGTAGTGGAGTAAAGTTGGCCCATCGTTTAGTTGGCCGCCGCGGTCAAGAACGACGCCGAGGAAAGTAACTATTGGCTGAGCAGCTTCGGGACAGTGCATGAAGTATGAGGCAGTACCTTCCTGATTTCCGGGATGACTAGATTGTGTAAGCATGTTCCTAAATTAGACAAGGCAAACCTACCGATCTAAATTGTGAGCGTGAAGTAGAATATGAAATCCTTCCTCATCGGACGTGGTAGTCAGAAAAGCACCCGACGAATAGACAAAGGCATTTGGTTGGTAAAGGTCAGGCCGGTTGCCCTCATTAAAGAATCTTATAAGGGTGGGGATTTCTTCCTGTTCAACATCGTCTGACTGAACATCCTTGCTTGGGATATTGAGCGAAACACGTAGCTGTATGGAAAATCCTTTACCAGGTCGTGTTGGATCCGGTTCAACATTCTCGATGAAATCGCGGATATGAAGGACGGCGGGAAAGGATTTATTTGATGGCATATCGAACGTAGTTGTCTACGGAGAAGTGTGGGGCTAGAGGATAGAGCAGGACAAAAAGGAACGTACTGAGTAAATTAGAATATGAAGTATGTTAGGCGTGACAGCAGGAAATAGTCGTTGTGCAGCACGTTAGGCGCAAATACGATGAAAATGTGAGGAATCCAAAAACCTTGACCGCTTCTTTAAAAAGAGGATTACGACATACAGAACATGAGTCTGCATGTACAAATGTGTGTAGGACGTGGAAAGAGATGATTGGACATTTGGTTACTTAGTCGTAAGAATTGGTCTGCCACGCACGAAGAGTTTCCTGTTGAAGTACTTGCAACCTCCGCATTTCTTCAAGCAGGTGAGGGTCAGGTTTGTGCTCAACGTCACTCATAACGATTGGTTGCATAAGATGAAGGCCCTCCAGTGAACGCAGGCGCGAGAGTTGCACATATGTGGAGCAGTATTTTCGGTGGGAGTCTTGCCGTCGACTCTTGCCTTCGTCTTTCAGATCCAAAATGACAGAGTTGAGAGTTGCCCCTTGGACCTTGTAGTCGGTGAGACAAAATGCCGGACAAACAGGAATTTGCTTGCGCCGGACTGAATAACCCTTCACAGTGATGGACATTTCCAGGGGGAAAGATAGGTAAAACACCACCGTCCAAGTAGGGAATATTTGGCTGTGTGCGGGCTGGTTTGAAAAGAAGACAGAGTGGTGGCTTAGTGCAAAAAATGTACTGGTTGTCTAATTCTACGAATTCCGCTGATCATGCGAAACTCGGTTCAGAACCACGGTGAATGATATATATCCGGTGGTCACTCACCTTCTGGGTCAACCGCAACGCCTACCGCCTGGCCAGTAGCACCATTGACCAAGCCTGCCGATGTGCAAATGTTCGTCAATACCATTGTGGGCATGGAAAATGTGTACAATGAGTCCCGGGAAAGGGACTTTTGCGCCTTGCTCGGGCAAACCGAGCAGATCATCCGCATGAAGCCGAGGGGCTGGCGGGCCTGAAGATCTTGTTCGGGTGTGGAGAGCTGGGAAGACAAAGATCTTCTGATGTCTGGCTCGAGCGAAGCGTTCAATCTGAAGACGATTTATGACGTGCCGAAGAGAATTCAACTTGACAATGGCTGTTGCAGTCAGCAGATGTGGAGCGGCGAGCGAAGATATTGCCTTAGAATTCAATGTTGATAAGTCCTCGGGTGTCAGTGTAGCAGACCTCGCCCGACCCAATAGGTCTCTATATTGTATGTCCTCTGCCTGGCGCATCTGCTCGTGGAGGATGACGACTTCATGGAACTGATTCCATATGAGTTTCCCATCCTGTTCCGTATCGTTTCTTGGAGGTTTCCACAATG